CTGATTGTGCATCAGAATTATCTGATAGGACAAGTCTACCCCAGACCTTTGGAACTATAGTATTTGGTGTAGAGGGGCTAGATAAAATGGTTTTGGTATATTTTAGCTATTCAGCCAGTTTGGGGATGGAAATCTTGAACCAGCAAGAATATCAGCACTAGTGTTCATTATCCAGTCAATGCACAGAGGCCTGAGTACTGGCGGAAAGTAGCGCCCAAGTTCAGCCTCGGCCAGGAGCTGGAGAGACCTGTCTGTTCATGACCCTCTGGCTCCATGGCACCCTCTGCACAGCTCTATCATGGCTCTTTGACACTGGTGCTGAAATTTTAGTCTTCAGCTTATATTTCTTAGAGATTTGTGAAAGCAGACTCAGTCTCCAGAATTCTTCCTCAAATCCCTACCAGCTTTTTACTGCAAGAATATAATAAATGTTGTTAAAATGAGTTGTTGAAACCTTAAGTCAGGTCAAGAGAGGGAGTGCATTAGTGGTAGTCTTTGGTTGCCTGTAACAGATGTGAACTAGCAAAAAGCAAGGTAGAGGACTTCAGTATAAGGATATAATATATCACACAAAACTCAACCCAGGTCTTGGGTAGGGACTGGAACAAAAAGCTGAAGTCCATGAAGATTTCCATCTTTGCTGCTTCTTATACATTGGCTTCAGTGATTTCTTTCTGAAAGCTTGCTTTCTCTGCTTCTCTGGCCTTCAAGCTTTACATTTTGCAGTTCTGATCTTTCACTGTCTATTTTAATTCTAACCCCTGGGATAGAGTGACCAGAAATGACTGGCCTAGTTTGGGTGTAATATCCAAACCAGATCCAGTTACTGATTGCCGGGAAACAGCTACAAGGGAGAAACTTGGTGGCTAGAGACCATGCCTGTGGATTAGATAGGAAGTCAGTTCCCAGAGAAATGGTGACTGGACACCCTGAAATGTATTTGTTGCCATGAGGCAGAGGCAGAGCAGGCAGTCAAAAAAGGAGAAGCTGACAACTGTGTCAGAACTGAATTATTTACAGCTCTCTCAAACAGAAAGCATTCTACTCACTTCCCCCAGAGTAGGAACCCATGCTGGCTTTGCAGGGTATGACCAGAGGCATCTGTTTTGCTTCAGTGAGATAGGGCAGTATGGCTCCCAGGTCCATTATATACCATGTTGTTGACAGTGGGTACCTTGGCCTCTATGTCTCGGTTTTTGCATATGTACAATGAGGCTAACAATAGTTTCTAATCTAACTAAAGAATACATTTATTTTTCAAAGTAAGCAAAATAATACATGAGAGCACTTAGAACAGTGCTTAACGTTTAATGATTGAAAATGTGTTAAATATTATTGTTATTGTCATCATAACAACAGATCCTGATGTTCTTTATGGAATTTATTACTTTTAATGTGATAAAGTTATGAATTTCAAGTATTTATCTCAAGATTTGACCCAGACTTCAATTTCTTTAAAAAAATTTTTTATTGAAATGTATTTGATTTACAATGTTGTATCAACCTCTGCTGTATAGCAAAATAACTCAGTTTTACACATATATACATTCATTTTTAAAATATTCTTTTCCATTATGGTTTATCCCAGGAGATTGGATGTAGTTTCCTGTGCTTTACAGTAGGACCTTGTTGTTTATCCATTCTAAATGTTATATCTTTTATCCCCCATCATCAAATTCCCAGTTCATTCCTCTCCTTCTCCGTAAGACTTCGGTTTCTTGGTTTAAGTTGAACACTAGACTTTCAATTAGATGTCCCCATGAGCTGAATCAGCCTCATGCTCTTTTTCTCATAACAACTTTACAGTTTCTTCCACTTGCTAATGTTCCCAACTGTTTTAATAATATCAACCTTAAACTGAGGTAAAAGACCAAAAGTAACCGAGAATCACAATTTCTAGGCCTAAAATCTCTTTATTTGTCTGTTTTTGGCATCTCTCTTTCACACCATAAGTCTTACCACTCAAGTGCTTTTTATCTTTTTCATGTAATTCTGACTAAGAATAAATATACATAGGGGCTTACTAAGTGTTAACCACTGCTTTAAGCATTGTTACAACTATTAATTCATTTAATCCTCATAACATCTTTATGGCGTAGATACTATTGTCATCCCCATTTATAGATATAATGGGATTTCCTGTTGACTCAGACAGTAAAGAATCTGCCTGCAACACAGGAGACTTGGGTTCAATCCCTGGGTTGGGAAGATCCCCTGGAGAAGGGAATGGCTACCCGTTTCAGTATTCTTGCCTGGAGAACCCCATGGACAAAATAGCCTGGAGGGCTATAGTCCATGGGGTCGCAAAGAGTTGGATATGACTGAGTGACTAACCCTTTACAGATATGGAAACTGAGACTCAGAGAAGTGATATGATCTGTCTAGGGTCACGGCTAGTAAGTGACAGAGAATAGGCAGTCTGACTCCAGAGCCATTACTCCTAACCCTTAAACCTCATGACTGCTCTGTGATGACAGATGAATCTCTCTTTCCATTACTTCCACCACCATTTGGGGTGGGGCTCACATGACTTCACCTCTATTATTGCAATAGGTTCCTAGTTGGTCCCCTTGACTTTGCACTTTGTGATAGCACTTATATACTGTCACTAGATTATTCTTTAATTAAGCCCTGCTTCTACCATGTCATTCCTTTGTTGAAAATCCTATGACCCTAGGTCCATGACTGTCAATACCCAACCTGGAACCCAAAGACGTGGAATGTAAATGTGCAGAATTTGTATCAGAAAGAGACCTGTCCCACTAAGTGACAACTTGAAATAATGAGAGTAAACCTAAGGTTTATTCTATAAGCTGAGGCCTAGCATTCCCCTATCCTGGGGGATCCCCAAAGTGTGTCCTGTGGCCACTGGCCCTTCTCAACTCTGAGCTCTGGGTATTTCCTCAGACAACTTGTCCTTGTGAACAACCAGCATCTGAAAAGTCAGATTAAAATTGCTACCTACCTTCCAAGTTACAAGAAAAACTCACATGAGATCTGGGAATGAAGTAACATTTAGAAACAAAATGGTTCATCTTCACATGAGAAAGATGAAACTACTGTTTTTTGCATTAAGTTATAGTTCTAGGCAAAAAAAGAAATCCTTCTATGACTCCCTGTTGGCCTAGGATGTAGAAAATACCTTCTGTTCCTGGTTTTTTAGGCTTTCTGTAGTCTGGTTCCATACTATCTATTTCGCTTTATGTTTTCCTCCTTCTGTCCGATTATCTAGGATTCTAATCAGGCTGATCTTTTCACCGTCCCCGTGCACTTGCTGTTCATCCCTAACTCTATGACTTCATGGTTGTCCATCTCAAGATACCGTGACTCTAGGAACTCTTCCTTACTAATCTCAACTGAATGTGACCTTTCCTTCCTTAGAATGTGCCTAATACTTTCCATGTACCCCCTCTAATGGTATCACATTCTGTCTTGTTTTCTATGACTTGTGGTCTTTTCTTATCTCTCTCCCTGCTCACCAATTTGTTAGCCTGTTAAAGAAAGAGACTGTGTTTCACTAAACCCTGTATTCCCTGCAGTGCTTCTTTCAATGCAGAGCACATAATGGGCGATCAATATGTAGTTACTGAATTTTAGAGAATTCTAGTTTCATCCATTCAGAATGTTTCTCTTTTCCCTTTTATTTTGTTCTAATCTTTCACAAAAATCTCACTTCTTGAATGAAATGCTCTTGACTGCTCTAGTCCTCGATGAAACTTACTTTCTCAGAACTCTTGTAACACTTCAGGCTAGTACCATACAATTTAGTACTTTATTATTTTATACAGTCTATTCATTGCTCGTGTATTATAATACAAGACCTGATATATAAAGATTATCAAGAAATGTTTGTTGAATGAATCAATATGTCAATCTTAGCCACCAACTGTGAGGTCTCCAAGACAGGAAGCATCCTTATATATCTTCTGTATGCCCTCAGAGCTCTCAACGTATAACAGGTGCTTCATGAATACTTGCTGACGGACTGGCTTTTGGATTTCTGTTCCAAGTCTATCCTCTCCTTCCTGTTGTTCTGCTCTCAGCCTGTGATTACACTGAAGAGGCTTTGGAGTCCTCAGGTCTAATTTCCCCATTGAGTACAGGCTGAGTCAGATTGCTGACACACAGGCCTCTTTTTTCCAGACCCTTTTGAAGTTCTGTCTTTAATTCAGGCCTTTTTATAAAGGGAGCAGGAATCCTTTGGTTGGGGGAGAAGAGTCAGGGGGTTGAGAACTGCAAAATATTAACCTTTGGCGAGAAATGATTTTACAGAACTTGTTACTGGGTGTACCCAGTACATGTGGGGGGAATAGGCCATTCTGTGTCTACTTTGTACTGTTTAAAGACAAGGGTAATAGATGACAATTCCATGTTACAACAGTGAATGACAAGGGCATTTCTTCAGATGGTATCAAGTCTGCCAGTAGATCTAAAAAATAATGATAAAAAGTAATAAAAATAACATTTGTATAGTAAAATATTATAATGATATTTGCATAACATATAGCCAACATGGCAGAGACCAGTGGTGACTGGTATTCCAGTTTCTCAAAGGAAAGCTTCGTGTACTGAGAGGAAAGGGAGAACTGAGATAAGCAGACACCTCTGTTACTCTGTGCCCCTCACAAGTACACAGCTATACTTGGAAATGGCAGATGGTAGAATGCATTTTTGCAGACTGGAAGGGCTTCAAGTTTTGCTCTCTTGGCTGTGATCTATGTTGTTGCTGCTCAGAACAGTGGGGGATATGTACACAGTGCGCCTAAGAATGTGGTATTTAACGGCTCTTCCCAGACTTGCTTCTAGCTGGAGAGAGGGAAAATGATTGACAGCTGTATCCAAGGTATAACTGATGTTTCACTGGACCAAAGAATGAGTTCAACCCTGCACTAAGCAGTGGACTGGCTAAGATATGAATTTTTCTTTATTCATATTTTCTGTATATTTATTTGCTATTTCATTGGCTTACATGCTTAGAAAGTTCTTTATTTTAAATGCAGGTACTCCAAGGGGATATGATCCGCATTTCAGAGGACCCGTTGTCAACAGGTAAGCAGTTCTTTTCTCTGGAATGCATATGTTAACAAACACAGAAAGCTTATTTTTTTTAACATCATTTTCCGGTCAACAGAGAATTGTGTCTACTATGAGAAGGAAATGACTTATTTTTAGTGTAAATGTCCCCTTATTTATACAGGGTAAGTACAGGGAATAAATCTTCCCAGGAGTCATGAATATCCTCTCCTATTCAGCAAACTAACTGCATCAATTTATTAGACTAAAGAGTTTGTTTTTCTTGAAAAGAGAAGCAAAAAACTGCTTTACAAGATTTAACCACTTTGTAGAGAAGCACACACATTCCAGTAGTTGTTTTATGCACCTGTTTACTCTGTGATTCACGACTGCAAATGCAGAGTTGCTATGCCAACTTCTTCCACACAGGGTATTTGTGCCACTCAGCCTCCCAAAGCAGAAAGCTTTCTCAGAGTCATCCATTCACCAATGCCATATGTATGCTTTAGGGTATTTTAAACTGCTCTAGGGAAATATCTGCTTGTCTCAACTGGTGTTTCTCCTGCAAGGTGGCATGGCATTTAAAAATTATCCAATAATTCACAGGCTTCTTTTATTATTATTTTCTACCCTCTATTCTCAGGTTTCCTGCTAATCAAAAAGGGAGCTTGCAGGGTAGAATGGCTAAAAATGAAAAGGAGATTATGCTGTGGGTAGTTTTTTTTTTTTTCTTTCTTAGCATTGACTTTGATTTCTGGCAGTTGCATGTCATAATAAACTGTAATGTGAAATAATGACCAGCGTCCTTATTTGCACTTGCCATCATGTATATTAGCATTACTGTTATGTCTGTGTAATATCCTAGCTTTAAACAAATGTGTATCTAATTTATTCTAATTCTATAAGAAGCCAAGTCATTTGTTTGAGTCACTCATTCAAAGATGTACCTACATCCTCTTTAGAGTAAGCCTGAAATCTCTCTCGTTCTCTCCATGGTAACACCATGAATACATTTTATTGACCAGTGTACAACAACCTCATTTGATATGGAGGTTACTTTTATTGTATTTTCATTCATTTTATAGTAGCTAATTTGTATGAATGGCATCTAGTTTATTGACCTCAAGAGACCTCTAGATATAATCCGGATTCAACAGTAGAAACAAAAACAATGATAATAAGGGAGCTACCAAATTTACACAGATGAAATACAGATTAGAGTTAATGCCTTTTCTAGCCATAGAGAAGAAAGCAGAGCTTGGTCTCACTGGCTGTGGGTGTGGGGAAGGAGGTTAAAATCTGTCTTCAGTTATTTAGAATGTACTGGTAGAACCAGGTAGTCTGGGTAAAGTCTAAAGCACTGTGATGATCACTGTGAGGAAAGTCATGTATTTTTATTAGGGCCTTTTGTGATATCTTAGCACCAAAAAAGCCTTCAAAGGTGAACTAATCATTGTGTATACCTCCCCTTCCCCCTAATTCTTTAGTCTAAGAATGGAGAGAAGTATTGTAAAACCATGGGGGCTTAACTATAGAAAGACACAGTTTGCTCAGTGGTAACTTTTCAGATCAGAGGTTTATAATGCATTTTATGGGAAAATAGTTGGGGTGTTTCAAGAGCGAGTGAGAAACACCACCTTCTTCACATTACCTCTGCATCAAGGCCAGCTTTAATAGCATGTTACTTACATAATGTCAGTTTCTTTTTGAGAGATCCCAAGTCTTATCAGATATTTCAGCAGACCTTCACAGCGCTGTCTGCTCACCATTCACCATGTTCTGTATACCTCTTCAGTTCACAAGAACATCATTTTGTGCCCAGTGATCACCCAACTGTAGTTGTTTGCAAGAGAAGTGAAGGAATGATGGTAATTCCATAGAAGAGATTAGCTTAGTTTCTCGTTTGTCCCCACCTACTTAGATAAGAGGGACTTCCTGGCTGGCTCAGTGGTAAGGAATCCACCTGCCAAGGCAGGAGTTTGATCCTGGGTCAAGAAGATCCCCTGGAGAAGGAAATGGCAACCCACTCTAGTATTCTTGCCTGGGAAATCCCATGGACAGAAGGAGACTGGTGGGCTACAGTCCAAGGGGTCACCAAGAGTCGAACATGACTTAGTGACTTAACAACATTAACTAAGATAAGAATTGGGCATATATGGAAGCTAATGTCCCATAATGTTGACAACAAACAACAATTCTTGAAGAAATATTTATTTGGCTGCATTGATTGGGTAGCAGCACGCAGGCTTAGTTGCTTTGCAGTGTGTGGGATCTTAGTTCCCCGACCAGGTATCAAACCCAAGTCCCTATATTAGAAGGCAGATTCTTAACCACTGGACCTCCAGGGAAGTTCCACAAACAGTATTTTTGATAGTCCCGTTTGGAAAGGTAGTTAACCAGTGCCTGTGCTTTGTCCCCTATAGTCAATAGAATTTTAGCATTGGATTGAGGTTGTGAGATTTTTGTAAAAGTTTAAGGGATGTTTAGCAGTATTTTTGGCAGTACATTAGAAGGCAAAAATGAATGCACATAGAAAACTAAGAAATAAATCTCTTTTACAAGCTGCTACATGAGAAATTTCTCTTAGAATTTTACAACTAAGAAAAATTTTCATTTAATGGAAAGTTGGTATACTTTCTTCTGTTATATAAAGAGAGCTGTAAGCTACTGTTTCTCCTTTTGTCCAGACTTGTAGAAAGCCCACTGATAATTTAATTTCAGTGCCAGCAACTACATTAGCCTTTGAGTTGAGCATTTCTTTTCAGGATTTTGAATTTCTATTTCTATTTTAATAATGCTGTTGCATCCAGTTTTAAGTCATTTCACTAAGTCAGAATATTCATTCTTGAAAGAAGCAGCTTATAGGCATACAGGTAAATAGAAATGAAAACCTTGAATGTTCCATAATTGATTTTTTCCCTTCTCTATATACAAAGTAGATGAAAGACCTATGACTCATACTAATCAAATTGATAGGTTTCACAATGCTGAAAATAACTATTGTTATAAATGGTACAGATCTGTCTGGAATGTAATAAGATGTGCTTATTTTTACTTGAGGCACTGGGAAAAGGTTAAATTCACTATCATAAAGGGATTTAAGGAGAGACTGAAGGGCCATTTATTATGAGTGTTGTGAAGGGGACTCATTCATATAAAGGAGTTGCACTAATTGACCCCTGATTCTTTTCCAAACTTGAAACTCTGTGACTCTGTGATTCAATATTTTTTATTATTGTAATTAGCATACAATATTATATTAGTTTCAGGTATACAACATAGTGATTTAATATTTTTATTAATTATGCTAGTTATCATCTGTCACCATGGAAAATTGTTAAAATACTATTGACTCTATTTCCTATGTATATATTATATTCCTGTGACTTATTTATAACTGGAGGTTTGTACCTTGTTAATTCCCTTCACCATTTATCTGTCCTCCCATGTCTCTCCCCTCTGGCAACTATCAGTTTGTTCTCTGTATTTATGAATCTGTTTCTGTTTTGTTTGTTCTTTTATTTTGTTCCTTAGATTCCACATATAAATGTAATCATATGGTATTTGTTTTTCTCTAACTTGTTTCACTTAGCATAGCACCTTCTATGTCTATAATACTGTCACAAATGGTGAGATTTCACTTTTTTATGGCTGAGTAATATTCCATTACACACATACACTGTACCACACCATACCACATCTTCTTTATCCATTCATATAATGATGGATACTTAGGTTGATTCCATATCTTAAATATTGTAAATAGTACTGCAATGAACATAGGCTGCATATATCTTTTTGAACTAGTGTTTTCATTTTCCTCAGATAAATACCTTGAAGTGGAATTGCCGAGTCATATGGTACTTCCGTTTTTAGTTTTGTTTTTATATTTACTTCTTTATTAATTTTTATTTTTGGCGGTGCTGGATCTTTGTTGCTGCACACAGGCTTTCCCTAGCTTCAGCATGAGGGGGCTATCCTCCAGCTGCGCTGTGCAGGCTACTCATTACGGTGGCTTCTCTTGTTGTGGATCATGGGCTTTAGTAGTTGTGGCACATGGGCTCAGTAGTTGCAGCTTGCGGGCTCTAGAGTACTGGCTCGGTAGCTGTGGCACATGGGCTTAGTTGCCCCGTGGCATGTGGGATCTTTCAGGACCAAGGATTGAACCCATGTCCCCTCCATTAGCAGTTGGATACTTAACCACTGGACCATCAGGGAAGCCCTATTTTTAGTTTTTAAAGGAACCTCCATACTATTTTCCAAAGTGCCTGTACTGATTAATATTTCCACTGATAGTTCACCAGGTTTCCCTTTTCTCATACATCCTTGCCAGTTCTTATTGTTTCCTGTCTTTTTGATAAAGCCATCCTGACCAGGTTTAAGGTGATATCTCATTGTAATTTTGGTTTGCATTTTCCTGATGATTAGTGATGTTGAGTACCTTTTCAGGTGCTTGTTGACCATCTGACTTTTTTGGGAAAATGTCCATTCAGGTCTTCTACTGATTTTTAAGTCAGGTTGTTTATTTTTTGATATTGAATAGTATGAGTTATTTATATATTTTGGATATCAACTCCTTATCATATATATTGTTTGCAAATATCTTCTGCAATTTAGTAGGTGGCATTTTCATTTTGTTGGTGGTTTTCTTCACTGTGCAAAAACTCTTTAGTTTGAACTAGTTGTATTCTTTTTGCTTTTATTGCCATGGGATATTTGGAGACACATCCAAAAAGATATTGCTAAGACCAGTGTCAAAGAGGTTACTGCTTATGTTTTCTTCTAGGAGTTTTATGGTTTCACATCTTTCATTTAAATTTTTAATCCATTTGGGTTTACTTTGTTTATGGTGTGAGAAAATTGTCTAGTTGGATACTTTTGCAATTAGTTATATGGTTTTTCCAACACTGTTTATTGAAGATATTGTTTCTCTCCATTGTACATTCTTGCTTCCTTTATTGTAGGTTAATTGACCATGTTAGAGTGGGTTTACTTCTGAGCCATCTATTCTATTCCATTTATCTGTGTGTCAGATT